GAACGTTGGAGTTGGAATGAAGGAAATTGAGAGAGAGAGAGAGAGAGAGAGGGAAGGAGAGAAGGAATGCGCTGGAGAGAGAGAAAAAAAAATTTATTTGCCTCTGCGGTTAATTCTTGTTCCCTTCTTCGGAAGGGGTGAATGGGATCGTAAAGCGATGGAAAAGGGATGCGCGTCGACGTAAGTGAAATCGATAGCAACGTCGAAAGCACAAGTCGCAAAGTTGGGGAGGGAAGGGGGTTGTTACGACATTGGCGGCGTTAAGAAAATTGAATAGTAAGAGACTTGGCGCGCAAAGAGAGAAAAGAAAAGGAGGAATAAAAAATCAAAAAAAGAGAAAAACTGAATGAGAGAATGGAAAAGGATTTCGGGAAAGAAGTAAAAAAAAAAAGAAAAAAAGAAAAAAGAAAAACGAGAAAAAAAAGAATAAAAAAAAAAAAAGAGGAAAGAAAGGAAAGAAAAAGTGAAAGACCAGCAGAGACCTCCATCGACGAGGGAGGAAGAGGGAGGGACGGAAATTCGTGAAAACAGTTAACCCCACGGACGTTGGTGCACCGTTATGAAACTTCGTAAACGTCGGTGAAAAGGGGAGGGTGGAAAAAACAAAAACACTAAATTGCACGGTGGAAACTTCAAAGGCGGAAATAAAATCTGTAAAAAGAAGCAGACGGTGAACGCAAACGGGAAAAACAAGAAGTAATCAAGAAACGTGCCCCGAGGATGTGGGTTATGTTTAATTTGTTACGCTGCGGAAAAACGAAATAGAGATAAAGAGGGTGGAGGAAAAGAAGGGGTGGTGGAAGAGGATGAGGAGGAGGAGGAGGGGGAGAAGCGCGGGAAAAAGTAGCAGGGAGCGAGAAAAAGAGAGGGAAAACGTGGGTAACCGGGGGAAGTCTGCGTTTTCAAAGGGTGAAAAACGTGCCGCACCGACGGCAGCCTGCTGCTTTCATAAGAATATTTTTCGCGTCTTTCCCTTCCCCCTCCCTCCCCCTCCTTTCCCTTCCCTCCCCACCCCGGAACGGTTCTCGCGTTCCATCGTCCCGCTTTTCATAATAAAAATCGAATTAATTCCTTATCGATTTAACAACTTTTTCTAAAGTGTCAAATAAAATAAAGAGGAAATAAATCCTCCTCCTCCACCACCACCAACCATCGCCATCACCACCACCAGATACTTTTCAAGGAATTAATTTAACGATACTCCTCCTCATCGTTTCGCGATAAAAATGGAACAACGCAGGAAGGAGGAGGAGGGGAAGGTTATTGAGCGATAAAAATAGATGGATTCTCGGTATAATACATTGGATACATACATTGCCTTCCGATGACCTATGAACTATGATCGCGGTCTTTCCTTTCTTTCCTTTTCCCCTTGATAAACAACATATCATCATCGTTCTCTCAACGCCGAGAGAATTTCGAATCGATCGATCGAATTATTCGAGATACCACGAGGAGAAATTCATTCGAATCGTTTAACCAAAAAATCCGCGAACATAACGAGTCGCAGTTTTCGTCCGAGGGGGAGGTGTATCGCGAATAAGAACGTGTCGCGAGGCGATGATCCGTGCGTTGAAGTTCACAAAAGGAACACGGGGTGTCGGTTGGTGTAGCGGAAAGAAGAGCCGGGATGAGAGAGAGAAAGAGAGAGAGAAAAAAAAGAGAGAGGAGAGAAAGAGAGAGAAAGAGAAAGAGAGAGAGAGAAAAAGTTGAAGCGACGCTCGGATTTACGCGGCACGTTACCCTAATGAAAATCGCGGAGGATGAATTGTAGGAGGGGTGGAAAGGTGGCTGGTTGGAATACACAGGGGTGGAATTAGAATATCAGAGACACGTTCGCAGCCTGTACATACGTTACACCAATACTCCTCCTCGTCAGGCTGTACGTATATAATACTTGTCGGTAGTTGACAAACCCTCGACATCAATTTCTCTCTCTGTC